AATATAATATATATATATATATATATATATATATATATATATATATATAAATATAATAATATTATATCTATATATGTCTCTATATAATGTGTGTGTAGCAAAGTATCAAAGATCCTTTCCATAAAGACGAAGGTAAAGCAAAGATGGTATCCCTTTCACATTTCTTGAGTGTCACAGTTGAATAGTATTAGTGAGCAAAAGAGGGAAAACAAACAAAAAACAAACAAACACAAGATAGAGAACGAGCGAGCAAGTGAACTAGGGAGAGAAAAAGTAAGAGAGGTAGCGAGAGAGTGAGGGAGGGGTAGGGAGTGTGCGAGGGAGGGAAGGATAGGGAGTGTGCGAGGAGGGAGGGAGGAGGGAGAGGAGGAAAAAACTAACATATAAGACAAAAGAGTCTTCATAAATCCATCTGTACATTATTTATGTTTGATAGATTCATTGTGATTACCTTTTTCATTCCAATTTTCTATCTGAAAGGCTCATTGTTCTTTATGATTGATTCTATAGATTTATTTATTGGGGAAAAATTGGGTTTTGTATTTGTAAGCATTTCATATATATGTATATGTATATAATATATTTTATCATTTTATAGCTGTCTATTTTTTTCAGCTGCAAGGTGAGTTCACCCAACAAGCGTCTGGAGTAAACATGTCAGAAAACGGCACTCAAGTTTGGCCCCAGAGTGGGTACGAGCTCTCTCTCATGGTGGTAGTGTAAACTCCCCACCCCCAGTCCTGGCCTCAACAAGTATAAGGTAAACCTCACATCTTCAAATGAGAGGGATATCAATTGCATATAATTGATAATTTAATGAATTTTATAACATGTATGTTGACGCATACCCTTTGCATGTAGTTGGCAGATCACCGGTATGGCCGTGAAGAGATGTTGGCATTGTTCGACAAGCACCAGAGTCCGCCAGATGGAATACTAGCACTTGGGCCACTGTACCTTGAACATCCTCAAGATCCCCTGGCACTTATACCTATGAAACGAAGATGAACAGGTAGGTAGATGTAAGAAGAATAGGATCCTCTCTCTCTCAACTTTATTGCTGCCTGTGGAAAGAACTGCTATGCTGTCTCCCTGCCTTCCCTCCCTCACTTAATATTCTTTCTACTGTTAGATGAATTAATGTTCTATGAATCCCTGTCACTTCACTTGTATATCTTCACAGAAGAAAAAAAAAGAGTTTTCCTTGTATGTTAATATTTTTTGCCTTTCTAAGGTTGTGTTTCTCCTACCACAGCGGATGTGGCAGAGAGGAGTAAACAGTGATGCTGTGTTGCGGCAGACAGGAAGACCCCCAGTGAATGGTGTTGGGCGTGGCAGGGTGGCAGTGGTGGACCGCGGGCGAGGCCGAGGACGAGGCACTGGCTCGTACTACAGTCGAGGTCTGAGCTACGATGAAGAGGCAGAACCACGGGGACCGAGGGAAGGTGGAACAATGACACTTGGAATGGGGATAAGGTAAGATAGGAGAGGTGGGCTGCACAGGTGGAGGGCAGTGAACTAGAAGTAACGGGTGTTAAAAGTATTTGGTCTCTATAGAATCTATTTGAAAAGAAGTCCTGCTTCTTAATGGAGTCCCAAAAATGGTTTGTTGAATAGTAAGGACATTTGTTATCCAAGGATGATATAAATTTATATATATTTATATATGAAATTATATGTGTATATGTATATATATAATATATATATATATATATTATATATATATATATATGTAATATATATATTATATATATATATATATATGTTATATATATATATGTATATATATATGTATATATATATATGTATATATATATATGTATATATATGTATATATTATATGTATATTATTTAATATGATATATATATAATATATATATAATATATAAATATAATATATATATATATATATATATAATTATATATAATATATAATATATATAATATATATATATATATTATA